GGTGCAGGCAATTTATTTCAAAGTGCAAAGCAACAAAACTTATTGGGTTACAGAAACAAGGAATAAACAAGACTAGGCATGAACTACAAGGTACAAACTAGTAACTCGAAGCATGAACTACAAACACGAACAGACTGACACAACAAACTGAGAGCACAGCACAAAACAGAGTGAGGGACAGAGGTGTATAGACCCAGGGCACCAGGTGACACCAGTGACACAGGTGATTGTGGTCACACTGATTAACTCACACAGCAGGAACAGGAAACAGACAGACGTAACAGTGACATTACAAAGTGGGTGAAACGTCACTGTTCAAAAAAAACATCACTGTTTGATTGTAGTAACCCTGCACCCCATACTGGGTAGCTTCACCCATGCTACCACTCCTATTCTCTAGTCTAGTCACACTCCTAGTCACTTCCTGTCTTTCTGCCATTTTTTCTTCTAGCAATCATACATATTGTATTTTATCCCCGCCTTCTGTCTGTGAATAATCATCCCATCATCTCTGTTTACCTTCCACATGATGGCCACTAGAATCTAACCTCAACAACTCAACAGCATGTGCCATGCAAACTGATCTCTTGAAACGGTTCCCCAAACCTTCCTGAGCCATGCCAATATTTTACAAAACAAAATACAACCACACACCACCAAACAAAAATATTCAAAAAAATATTTTTTTTTGCAATGAAATATAATTATCTTCCAGATTAAATTTACTCAGTCAGTGTGAAACCTGGGCCTGTTTAGTTGAACACAGCTTTGATATACAGTCACAGGAATTGAAGGAATACACACACAGAGATCTCCTTCAATAGCTTTGAGTCTCCCTCTTCTTTTTAGGGTTTTTAAGCCACCTGTGGCCACATAGTGTGTATATAATTGTTTTGCCTGTCATTGTCACATAGAACTAACAAGAACATGTATTTGCAGTAAATAAATAAATACTGGTTTTCAGAGAAATTGTGTGGAACTGGATTATTTTCCAAGGTACTCCTGATGATCTCTCACGACACACTAGTGTACCACAAAACAGTGGTTGGGAATCACTGTCTCTGGACGTTTTAATGTCTGAACTGAAACACTACAGTGGAATGAAATACCACAAATGCCATTCATATTAAGTTTTAGACCTTAGTAGTCTGACGCCGGTCTTAACACAGGAATTTAATAAGAAGATTGAAAAAATTACAGTAAATGTGTGTCCTCATGAACACACACTTACTGTGGATCTTATTAAAGATCCATATACAGTGCATGCACAATATTACTGTAGTTTGTACAATTGTAGTATCTTAAATATAGGTAGCATTTTTAGCAATTGTGTACCAGTTTTGGCTAATGTTTCATATTTAGAATTATTTTTTGTTAATTTCCAACTATTGTATTACTAACTACTACTATTCTATTACTTTTCTATTAAGTTTTTATTTTTACTATACTTTTACCTCAGGTATTTTGAGGAACTGCTTCATTTTCAGTTAGCTGTAAATGTCCATTTTTTTATCCTATGTCTAAATGATCAGCTAGCCTGTAACCTTTTTCAAAATTTGTGACCAACGTTTAATCCACTTGAAATGTGTACATAAAACCATCTGCAAGGTGTGAAATACATTTCATTTTCTCATTAACAAAGGCATTTGTAAAGAAAAGTTAAAAGTTCAGTTATGGGTTAAATATCAACAAAGCAGCTGAATCTCTGGTATACAATTCTTGTGAACTGTTAGCTAAAATTGAAGCTGTGATTTTACTTTAAAAGTACTAATCAAGTAACACTTACAGGTCTGATGATTTTGGATACTGCCCTCGCCTCATTTGTGGGTTTGATTCCGGTAGGTTATCCTGCTGTCAGTAGTTAGGCAGCAAAACTTGAGAGGTCAAGAGGGCTGAAAAATACAGACCATTCACCCTTCCCACAGGACATATATCAGACATATATCCAAAAATAAATATATACACAATCTACCTTCTTGAGCCAAGGTAAATGCAAAGGCATTTTAACTTCCCTTTAATAGTCCCATTGCTGCCCCCTAGTGGCGAAAGTGAGCGTGGGGTGACTTTACCTTGGAGGAGAAGGAGGAGATCTGTAGCTTCAGCTGATGTTTGGCTGCTGATGCGGGATGTGTCCAGGTAAAGAGACCTCTCGGTTTAAAAATCTGGAGCGCAGAGATACAGCAGGGACGCTGGCTTCAGAGTTTTCACAGCGGATAAGCGGCTGCAGGTCCGTCGGTCCACTTCCCAGTCCCGTCTCCGCTGAGTGTGTTGGAGGAAACATTTCGGCAGACTTTAACGTCAGTAGCTTTTGCTGGCTTCAGTGGTAAGATCCGAAAATATTTACTAGTTACACGTGAACTCAGCACTACTGACCAGCGCATACTTTACATTTACATTTGCTTTAGTAAAGTTCAGCTGTAAATCGTCACCTGAATATCGCCACATCAGGAACTTCCGAAAAGACTCGGTCTACAACGATTGAACTTGTATTTAATCTGAACCAGTTGTGAAGTAATGAAGGAATAATGCCCTGTATGTTTCAATGTGACAGACGATAAGATGCCGCTGAGGTCTCCAACACCGGGACTGACAAGGTTGAGGTGGTACAATCCACATCAGGGTCATCTAAAAATAATTACATATTAAATCGTTCCTCCATTTTAGGACTACGTGCTGAAATGTACAACCATCTTAAAAGAGTTTTTACATGAGAAATTACATGAAACTCCTACAAAAAGATCAGTATTAACAGTGCTACGTAATTTCCCGAAGGGGAGTCCCGAGGGATTAATAAACGTCTATCCAGTTACATAAGGTTCAAGCCTCGTGTGAGTTCTTAGGATGAAAATCAACTTATGTCGCGCCTTAAGAACAAAAGTCTGACGGAAGTCGAGGACCCACTGTAATTAAACCAAATCGACTAATTAAAGAACCTTTCGTGTCTTAAAAATTTAAGTATAAAGTGTGTATTTCAATTAAATTCACTTCATGCTGACATTCACTATCATGCAATGCTAAAAAAAAACCAACTAGAAAATAAGAGACAAAAAAAGAATTTCTTTTTCTAAACATTGTGAATACACTATATTGTTGACACAATATATAATAATGTAAAGAGCTGATCCCACTGGATAAACGATGGAATAACGTATAACAAATGGACATGTATATTTCTGCTGTACATGTAGTCTATGTAGTCAGTATAGATGAAACATTCTCTGTGTCCTCTGCTTTTGACCCATCACCAAAGTGAACAGTGGGCAGCTTTAAGAACCAGGGAGCAGTGTGTGGGGACGGTGCCATGATCAGAGCACCTCAGTGGGAACTGGGCAGCTGGTGGACTAGAACCTGAAGCCTTCCAAGTCCTAAGTCCGCTTCCTTAACGCTCCTGCACCACAGTCAGAGTAGTCCTCTGGGCTATATTACCATAAAGAACAGGGTTCCTACCGAGATTTAAACTCGGATCGCTGGATTCAGAGTCCAGAGTGCTAACATGAAACCGCCAGCAGGCTGCTGTCCTATTGGTTGACCTACTTTACATTTAACGGATGTTTTGCTAAATACAAAATCTATATATCATGTAAGAGCTGGAACTCTAGATAGAGACCATGGGATGGTCAGAGGAATGTTTACTGATGCCTATAATGGAGTGATAAATAGCTGGATTTTGGTATACACTCACTGAGTTACATTAGAGAAACTTATGGACGGTCGTTTGATCCTGTTCCTGGGATTCATGGAAGTCTCCATCTGTACAGGTCCATATGAAGTCTGAGCAGTTTGAAGATGCAGGTGGAGGAGATTAGTGGATGTAGTAAAAGAGGACATGGAGAGGGTTAGAGTAAAAGAAGAGGAGGCAGAGGAGATGGAGTCAAATGATCTGCTGATGAAAGAAGAATGTTTAAAAAAGTTATAGCAAGTTGTTATGTTTTGATGACACTTTCCTAAGCCTGTGTTTTCATGGTGGATTTGACATTGTCATAGTGTTCAACACTTACCAGCTTTGAAGAAGTAGGCGTGGCTACTCACAATCAGTGGCACTGAATTTTGCACTAATCTGTGTGAAATATTAGTAATCAGATGGAAAGAGAGAGAGAGAGGGAAGTGAAAATGGGAAAGATTACACAAGTGAATTTGGTTCAGGAATTATATAAAGTTAATGTCCTTAATCATTTTTATCTTGTGTGTACAAAAGCCAGGATTCTACCCCTACATGCTTTAGGTGTCAGTAGAAAAAACTGCTTGTTGTTTTTTTCTTTTTATGGCTCAGTGTGAAAAGTGCATTTATCGAGGAAAACATCAGTTCCTTGTGGACTATAAACAGTGCACACTGGTGGCATAATTTATAGTGTACTCTTACTGTGCAAAGCCAATCAGACAGCCTCTGTGCTAAAATGCAAAAGATAAGCTGAAAGTGTTAAATTAAATGACAACAAAATCCTTGGCACGCCTGTCTGAGCCGGTTATACCACTTCCCTGTAAGTTGCAGCTCTGCCTTTGTTAACACAGTGTAATTAACAGTGGCTATAAAGTCGTCAGTGTGGCTCAAACAGAAGTGAAGCTGCTGGTGAGTGTGCTGTGTTACCATTTCAACAATTTTCCTTTTAGGGTTTTCCCTGGCTCCTCAAGAATAGGTGTGGTGTAGGTTAGTGTTGTAATCTTTTCTAAACACAGATTGAAACAAGTTTTCTAGCAAAGTGCAGCTTGAAAAACCTAACTTTGGGTCCAGTGGGTCTAGTCTTAATCCACCGTAGGGGTTTTCTTTAGTCTGATCTTGTTAGCTAGAGGTTATTATTTTGGTTTGTGGAACTTGGCAAGATCAATTTTGGCCAATTCCATTTTATTTTAGTCTACAGAAACATGAAGGGAGTGGTTTAGTCTACAGAGTGGTCCAATTCCATTTTATTTTAGTCTACAGAGTGGAATGGCACAGAGTGGTATGGCAAATATACTTGGCATTCTTTGCATGTTTAATTATTTTTAATACATTTAATCACAGCTTGTCACGAGTGTCATTTAGACACATCTTCAGCGTGAACCTGATAGACACCGTCTGTCCTGTGAGTGGACTGTCTAATCAGTCGAAGTTTAATTCGTTAATTACTTAGATGGCTAATGATCCCAGGTGTGATAAATGTAACATAGCTTGTTGTCATGCACAACATACCATGTGACTCCTCCACTGATGTAATGTTGCCTGTCGGTTCACATCACTGTTTCCTAAACACATATATCAGTTACTCGCAGTGATGTGTGTGTGCAGCAGAAACTTGGACTCTGAGTGACAGAAACAAAAAACTGTGCATGAGGGTCTCAAGTCGTGGCTACAGAGCTTAATAAAAGTCTGTGAAAAAGTCTTGATAACTTACTTACATGAACTTTTCTTTATAGGATTAAGTGTGTTCAATCACACTTGAAATTTTATGTGAATATCATTACTTTACTATAGTGTACTATACTATACTAGACAGTACTATACTATATGGATACAAATGTACTGAGTAAGTATGTCTGGCACAATTTTCTTTCTCTCAGGATTTCAACCCCCACATACTCTTTCACCCATTACACAATACACTCCATCATTTTAAAACACTAAGTTTTGATCCATAAAACTCTGAAAGTAGAAGATGTTTTGTACATTTATTGAAGGGCTATAAAAGGCTGTAAAATAAAATGTGACTCTTATTTTCCAACAGAACTTTGCTTTTGATCCATGTTCTTTCAGCAGAAATCATTCTGGCATCAGGCTATTGATATTCATGCAGTACAGTGAGTATTTTGGTTTGATGACTACAACTTTGAAGTAGCTGTTGGTAACCTGGAAAAAATAAATCATATTCTAAGGTGTTTATTGAGCTCCATGAGACTCCAAGTGGAACACTGTAAAACAGAACAGAACCCATCTTGGAGGTGTATGATAAATATATATATGTATAAATATGTACACTGGATTGTATATTTTTTCCTCCTCTTTGCCGATGTTAGTTGACAAGCCAACGTTAGTTGCTAGACAATATCAAAATGTTTGTAAGTACATTTGTCCTTAAGGGTTTAAAAATGTCTTTTTATGTGTTTGAACGGAGTCTCGTCAGCACAAATTGCCCAGAGCAGTTTGCTGCTGAATATTTTATGCCAGCATTGTGTCATTTAGAACTTCAGACCTAATCCATGATTTATAACACCATCATCCAACATGCAGCCAAACTGAGCAGTTGTGCAATATTTTTTGGTTGATTTTGACAGACCACCTGGTTGATGTGGTAGAGAAATCATCATTCCTGTGACAAGGCCTTTGTTGCAACTTGTTTTTAATTCTTCATAATTCAAGTTTGCACTTTAACTTTGTTGTGTTTATGTGAGTGGTTCTGCCACAGTTAATCAATCAGCCTTCAACTCCAGCAGGGACAAAAATGTATATATAAGTGCTGCTCTATAGAAGCCAATTAAAGTTGAGCATTGCATCAGATAATCTGTGATAAATAGCTGATTCTGAATAAACTAGCCATATAATGTGGAAGAAATTCAATGTAAACAAAAATGGTACAGGGTGTCCTTGACTTATACACTACAACAATTCTGTTTGCTCAGCAGGACACGACTTGATATTCACCATAGGTCGTAACTTACATACTGTATATAAATATATGTATGTATCTATGTCACTCACCTATACTAACACAGTGGTAACATCATGCTGTAGGACATAAAAACATCATAAAGGTCTGACTTAAGCCTGGGAGTCATAATGAAGGGCCAACCAGTCTCCGTGCGAAATTTGTTTTAAGACTTAATAAATGTATTGGAGATGGCAACATAGCCACAAAACACCAAAGGTGTGCTGTTATATATTGCGCATCATGATTGCTCGGGTCCAATAAACCGGAATCATAATTTCTTAACGCAAAGTGTGAACAGAAAATAAAATCTGATGTAAAATTATAGCAGCTGAAACGGAGATAAACCACTATCTCAACTAAATAACTATCAAAAAGTAAAATAAAAAGAAATACAACATGTTATTTCTGTCACTAACAAGTGCTGTAATACAAAATTGAACCACTGTTTTTTAGATGATAAAGAAAGAGGTCGTCACCGTGTAAACGGGAAAAGGGGAAAGTGTCACAGGTCACATGCCAGAGGTCTAGATGCTGGTGAAGCTCCTTGATTCGTCACATTTGAATTTCACTGATATGTATTTGCACACTTTCTCGTGCATTTCAGAGAGGTCTTGAAACAACTTCCCGACAACAAACCTCAGCTTGGTTTAAAGTGTATAACGCAGAAACTTTTTCTGTTTCAACCACATGGACAAGAGTTTTTTTTGTCATCTGTCATGCTCTATGTGCTGTCCAGAGTTATTTGTTCGCTACTGTACTTTATAAAGTCAGTCTGGAGTTAGTTAGGATCCTAAAAAGTAATAAAACATTTATTGAAATCTTTTGTGTAGAACTTCATGAATGTTAAGAACAACTTGCCCTAAAGTAGAGTTTAAAACATATTTTTCCCATTGTGCGTGATATTTCTCAGGATTCCTGGGAGGGGAACTCCTTTATTTTGGAAATTAGAAACAGGTTTCTTGGGTCATTCAAACTACATCTGCTGACAATCTATTCCACCTGTTGTTTTTAAATGTTGTTTGGGAATATCCTGACATGACTTTATCTTTTTTAAGTCCTAATGTTAAGTCCGTCATTAGAATGAATCACTGGATTATCGCTTATTCCTATTGAGCAAATCCAACTGACAGTAACATTTTGTCATGTGTGTTTCAGTTGGAGCCTGAAGTCGTCAGGATGCTGTGGCTGCTGATCCCTCTGCTTCATCTGAACGACTGCAGAGTCAGTGTTGCTCAGAGCGCAGCGTATGAAGAAGGACGTGACCCTGGTGAGTGTGTGCTACATATGTACTGTACCGCGTACGTGACTAAATATGACTGACTAAAAGTTAAATATGCATGAATAAAAGAAATGAAGACGTAAGAAAGAAAGTGCAAGCTGCTTGGTTTTTATTTATTATTTATGCATTTTTCTACTTCTTGCAAGAGATTTATGGTTTTTGAAACTAGAATTAATGAACAAAGAGAGAGTTTTTAGGACTTAGGCTGTCAAGAGGAGACTCGGAATAACACATTTTCTATCTGAAGAAAAAAAAACTATGTTGCAAAGTTTTTTATAAAATATGGCACAAACCATGACATGGTGGCATTAGACTATGAACTGCTGTTCATGAACCCCCCCAAATTCAGTAAACACAATTTTTCACAAAGAGGTGACCTTTGCCCCACCCTTGACTGTGAACCTCCTGCCAAATTCTGGTATCAAAGTTAAAACCAACAAATAGCAGGTGAGCAGGTTGTAAAATAATCTTCACGTCACGCCTGTATTGTTGAATATTATTTGAAAGTTTTACTCTGGTTGTTATTTACATTTCTGCTCTGGCAAAGGTTTATTAGGAGTGACGGGTGCACACTGAATTGATGAACAGGTCGATCAACTTAGGTTGCAACCAAACTAGAAACTATAAAGCCTTATTGTGCTGTGTTGGTGGGAATAAAATGTCACGTGACAGTTTTAAAGAGCACTGTTGGCTGCTGTTACAAACATGACAGTTACCTTGTTTGGTTTTTTTCCTGCTTGAAACTTTTTCAGTGAACGCATTGCCTGACAACCTTAATAGTCATCAAAAGTCAATAAGACGAGTTGCTTGCAGAGCAGCAGCATCATTTGCCTTGTGTCCATTGTTTGTTTGCCAGGAACAATTAATTGACACAGGCCAGTTAATTGCTCATTTGCTTATTAAAGAGCCTCAGGGCACAGTGTTTATTTTTTACATTTATTTTTACTGTAGACAGATTTTCTGTGACAGCAAGGCCTCACATCTACAAGTGTCGTTCACCAAACATGGAGGACTTCACTTGCTGGTGGTATCCACTGGACAACCTGACTAATGCTGAGGACGTTTCCTACATCCTCACCTACTCCATTGGGTTTGTATAGAACACTGCACATTTTTTTTCTATATTCATTTTTTTATATAATAATATATTTCTTATATAATAATTATAATAATAATAAAACTACATGACACTTCAGAGTTCATTAAGGATAACATTAGAAATATTTGGTGAACGTTTGGTGTGTTTTTCTTGGCAAAATATATAATAATATATACATATACAAAAGTAAAACATGTAGACGTTAGTCATTTTCTCAAATCTTGATTTGACAAGTGACGGCTCACCACTTTATACTGAACTTTTCAAGTAAATATCCAATTCAGTCAGTGTCAACAACAGTCAACAATGTCATGTAATATTGTGAAAAGTTTCAGGTCTTGGGAGAAATGTATGTGTCCGTGGGTCAACGTGTATGGCCATTAAGTCCTCGCTTCAATTATAAATGACTTGGCTACGTAGGCTCGATATCACATAGGTTTGACCCAAGGACTCAAGGTTCTTTATTATCATTACAACACGTTAGACATGAGATGAATGAAATTAGTTTCCCTTCTCC